ATCAGGGGGGTCCCAAATCCCCCCAAAATCCCCTTCAGGGGGGTCTCAGCCCCCCAAAACCCCCTCGGGGGGGGGTCCCAACCCCCTCCCAGTCCCTCCCAGTCCCTCCCAGTCCCTCCCAGTCTCACCAGTAGCCCCTGGCTGGGTCTCAGGGACCCCTCAGGTTCTGGGGGGGCCCCCCCAGGCCCCCCCCCGTCCTCGCCCGGCCCCGCCGGGTCCTCCCCCCCCCGGGGGGGCTTCTCCTCCTCCTCCATGGCACGGCGACGGCCTGGGAAGGGGGAAAAAAAGGGGATTTTACCCCAAAATCTCCGGTTTTTTCCTTTTATCCCCATTTTTCCCGCTTTTCCCGCTTTTTTTTGGGGGGGAGGGGTCCTTTTTACCCCCCAAATCCCCAAGTTTTGCCTCAAAATTCTCCTCCGAAAACCCCAAAATCCTCAGTTTCACCCCCAAAACCATCGATTTCACCCCCAAAATCATCGATTTTACCCCAAAAATACTTGGTTTTACCTCAAAATCCTCAATTTTACCCCCAAAATCCTCCATTTAACCCCCAAAAATCATCAACTTTACCCCAAAATCCTCAATTTCACCCCCCAAAATCCTCAATTTTACCCCCAAAATCCTCGATTTAACCCCAATATCCCTAATTTTACCCCCAAAATTTTTGTTTTTAACCCCAAATACTCGATTTCACCTCCAAAATCCTCGATTTAAACCCCCAAAATCATCGATTTTACCCCAAAATCCTCAATTTTACCCCCCAAATCCTCGATTTAACCCCAATATCCCTAATTTTACCCCCAAAATTTTTGTTTTTAACCCCAAATACTCGATTTCACCTCCAAAATCCTCGATTTAAACCCCCAAAATCATCGATTTTACCCCAAAATCCTCAATTTTACCCCCCAAATCCTCGATTTAACCCCAATATCCCTAATTTTACCCCCAAAATTCTCGTTTTTCACCTAAAATACTCGAATTTACCCCCAAAATCCTCAATTTCACCCCCAAAATCATCGGTTTAACCCTCAAAATCATCGATTTTACCACAAAATCTTCAATTTCACCCCCCAAAACCCTCGATTTTACCCCAAAATCCTCAATTTTACCCCAAAAACCATCGATTTTACCTCAAAATCCTCCATTTCACCCCCAAAATCATCGATTTTACCCCAAAATCCCTAATTTTACCCCCAAAATTCTCATTTTTCACCCCCAAAATCATCGATTTTACCCCAAAAATCCTCAATTTTACCCCCAAAATCCTCGGTTTTACCCCAAAACTTCTCGGTTTTTCCCCAAAATCCTCAATTTCCCACCCAAAAATCCCTCCCCTCACCCCAAATCTCCTCTCCTCACCCCAAAATTCCTCCCTCCCGCCCCCCAAACCCCATCTCCGCATCCCAAAATCGCCGCTTTTTAACCCAAATCCTTTTTACCCCGCACCCCAAAAAATCCTCGTTTTCCTTCCCAAATCCCCTCCCCGTATCCCAAACCCTCCTTTTTTCCCTTCCGGAACCCCCAAATCCCCCGATCCCACCCCAAATCCC